ATTGGTACATAACAGCTTTCTTGTATGCAAAGAAAATAATTAAAAATGTTAAAAAAGAGATGTCAACACAAAATTACATAGCCCCTTCAATTCAGAAGATACTACAAACGAACTGTACCTTAACATTTTCATATCCCAGAAGCTAACGTTCCCATGACGAATATTGCTATCGCTAGCGATTGCAAAATCCAACTTGTTCTTCATTAGGGTCCATTTAAAACATTCATATTTTATCACACAGCTTTTTAACTTTGCCCTTCGAGCGAATAGGTTACCTGTTTACAGGAGCTGATCATAATTTGGAAGTTAGAATGTAAATAGTTGTAAAAATATGTATAATTACATTAGATAATAAAAAAGTTCAAAAACAGTCGGAGATCTGCCTATTTGATAATTCGTAATCCTTTGACATTTATACATTGCTAAAAATAAATTGTGCGCCTCTCAAGATCCCGGACAGATATGTGTCGCAGGCAATCAGCAAGCGCCAGTGGATTGCTTTCAATTCGTGTTGAATAAAGTAATTAAAAAATTTAAAGGAAAAGAAGCAAGATTGAATATACAGATTACTAGGCTTGAAAATTGAACAGACGTCTCTCTCTCCTTGGATAGTTGGTAACAGCTAGCACTCTCCTAAAATCTGTGGCCTTAGTCGGTTTTCGTTTGGAAAGGCGACTAAACCAATTGCCTAGCGAAGCGAGAGGTGTCATCAGAATTCGAAGGCGCTTCGAGCCGCGATATACTTTTGAAGTTCTTTACCAACGAGACCTTCACTGTGTCGGTGCGAATTTGAAAAAAACGCATTACGAAATACGCAATGGGCCTGTTGCAAACTTTTGCTAGAGCAAAGAGAGTTGTTTCTTATAGATAATGCCTCAAAAATCACGATGAGCGCATCGGCAAAGTCTGAAATGCACTCATAACTTCACAGTCTGCGTAAGAAATTTGCGTTTTTTCAAGCTTCCCGCTTCAAAAACGATACTACGGCACAGGTGAACATTTTGTAAGAGGAGTCGTTCCATCGTCGGCAATAATCATCATGGCCGACGCCAATCCGCCAAAACACGTTTCATGGGACGAGTTAACACCTGAACTGGATTAGACCAGATAACAATCGGTGTGTTAACGTTCATATTTTCCACGCCCGAATTGATTGACCTTGAACTCTCCGCGAATTACGCGCGGAACTGCGCGCAAGCGTCGGCCATGATGAATATCGCCGACGATGGAGCGACTCCTCTAACAAAATGTTCACCTGTGCCGTAGTATCGTTTTTGAAGCGGGAAGCTTAAAAAAACGCAAATTTCTTACGCAGATTGTGAAGTTATGAGTGCATTTCAGACCTTGCCAATGCGCTCATCGTGATTTTTGAGGCATTATCTACAAGAAACAACTCTTAATTTTTCTCTAGCAAAAGTTTGCAACAGGCCCATTTGAACATTAAAAAGTGGATTTTACACATTTTTTATGTACTCGACATGATTTTCATGCGATTTTACCTGCACTGGAAAAAAAAAACACATTGGATCTAGAGTCCAGACTCTTGAAAACATTGACAAGAAAAAGGACTCTTGATTTAATCAGAATTTAGCTTGGATCAAAAGGAAATCCACTCAAATTAAGAGGCTTGGTTCTTGATTTAAGCTTAAATCTGATTGAATTAAGAGTATTATTTCTTGTCGATGTTTTTAAGAGTCTGGACTCTAGTTCCAATGTGTTTTTTTTTTCCAGTGTGCAGAAAAGCATTGCTTCTATTATGGCTTTGCGGGGAACAAAGAATTGTTGATCCTACTACTATAGTAAATTCCAGCTCCCATCAACTTTTCTGGCGTAGCTTTGTGAATTGTTAAGTTTCGATGATGAAAAACTGCAAGAATACACACATCGGTTTGCGGCGTGGCAGACTTCCTGACATATTTTATTTCCTCATAGAGAACTACTCTAAACACCATTTCTCGAAAACTAGGGAGATTTTATCCCTCTATTTGGAGGAAATGCTGTGAAATCAAGCTATGTTGTTGGTTTGGTCTTCTCTTTAGAAATAAAGAGGGAGTCAAGATTTTGAATCACCGCGACCAAGATATGTATATTTTTTGCAGTTTCGCTGTCGTTCTGTGATAATCAGTATTTCGGTGCCGATAACGACGCAACACAAAATTGGACGTTTCTAAAAAAAAGTAACCTGAGGCAAGTGGGGAAGAAAAAAGCGTGCGCGTTAGTTCTTGGGCCGTAAAAATGAATGGGAATTATAAAGCGCCAGTGACGTCAGTGGCGACGCGACAACAGGGACGGGCACGGACAAGTCTCTTTAACTCATGAGCCCTGCCCACAACGCTTTTGTCACATGCCCACGGCTCATGATGTAGCATACAGTTGGCGCTGTTATCTATATGGCATAGTATCTTTATTCATTGTGCGAGGAAAGCTTCGTACACTTGAAGAATGCATGCCATTCTGAATATGTCGGAGCGCCTTCAATTTGATTCAATGCGCCTTTCAATTGGACTGCATTTTGCAATTTGGAACTATACATTCTGGTCCGATTTAAAAACAACGTATTTGCCGTTGGTTTCCCTATGCACATAAGTGTTTTTTCAAATGAGCCAGAATTTATAGTTCCAAATTGCAAAATGCAGTCCAATTATCGTATGACACTGTGCACCACGTCTGTTGTGAAATAGTTGCTTGAGGCGCCGTGGCACCCTGCGGCGCGGCAGGCGGCTGGCTAGCGCAAAATGCGCAATGCGCAATGGCGCCTACAAACCTAACAGAGATACTTCACGCATTGCGCAATGCGTGAAGTATCCCTGTTAGGTTTGTAGGCGCGTTTCGCGCCAGCAGCACGCCGCTCTGCTCTAGGTTAGGCTGTAATATCTGAACTCGCGGAGTCAGCGTTTTTCAACTCATGATTTTGAAATGTTTACACACTCTGCATGGATTATTCTCATCGAAATTGATGAAAAAAAATATGCATTAAAAGAAAATATAATGTGCCAGTTCCATTTGATTAAATGTAAAATCTCGCTTTTCCAATTCCCCAAAAGGAATCACGCCCACGTTTATAATATTTCTTATGCAGCCAACAACGAGCACATCCAACCTTTCCCACACGTCTCTGGTTCCGTTCAGCAGAAATACGTCCAATGGACCTCTTGACAATGTATGAGTTAAAGCACAACACTGCATGTTTTCTCTTCAAAATATCACGTGGAAAACGAATCACACAACGAAAAGTCTAAAAAACAACTCCTCAACAAGAGATACGTGTTTTCAATGAACATTGGTTCAATGGCAAAAATACAAATAATGCCATTTGTGTAATCTAACTCCAATTCGATCTGTCCTAAAAAGACTTGTTAATATCTCGCTGAAGAGCTGATTTCGAAACTTCCCATGGGATAGTTTTCTATGTAAAATTTTGAAGAGAAAACATGTAATGTGGTCTGCCGTGCTAAGGAAAAACGCCGTATGAGCATTCGAGAGTTGCCAAATTTCCTTTGATAAACATACAAGGTATTTATTTGAGGAAAGTTACCCACACTGGGGAAAAACACATGGATCTAGAGTCCAGACTCTTAAAAACATCGACAAGAAAAAATACTCTTGATTCAATCGGATTTTTTCTTGAATCAAGAACCAAGTCTCTTAATTTGAGCGGATTTCCTTTTGATTTCAGCAAAAATCTGATTGAATCAAGAGTACTTTTTCTTGTCGATATTTTCAAGAGTCTGGACTCCAGATCCAATGTGTTTTTTTTTTTTTTTTCAAGTGCATATTTTTTTTTTTGTTGAAATTTTCAGATATTTGAGATAAAATTGCGAACAAAATCGTCTGAGAAAATTGAAGAAAAGTATTCAAAATTTTCCGAGTAAATTCAGTTTTTAGTGAAGAAAATCTGGCAATGTCTAAAGGCTCATACGGCGTTTTTCCTTAGCTTCTAATGCAGACCTTCTCTAATGACCCGTTCTTACCGGGATCAGAAGTATTCTCACGAAAAAAGTAAAATTGTAACTACGACCAGGAAAGTGGATAAGATTCGGAATCCACGATGAGCATTGCAGGAGCAACCATTCTTCTTTCTTCGTGTTTGACCCGTTGCATCGGACTCACCCCGAGCCGCGTGAGAAGAGTATGGAGCGCTTCCCGTCGAACCGACGTTGCTCGTCGAAGGAGTCTCGCCAACTTCCATCCGCTTTTGCCGCTCCCATGGTGCTCCCTTGAATGAACTCCCACAGTTGAGAGGTCGTCCGTTCGAGTCCCTGGCTCGGCGGCTCATACTTGACAGGGACAGCAGCCCCGGTGGCATTTCCGAAGCCCTTACCCCTGACAACCTGCGAGCGAGGGGGGTAAGATCCGTCCGGGCGCAGCTGCGAATAACCAGGAAGCGAACTGAGCAGCGACGGATACAGCCCGTCCAACTGCGGACACGTGAGACCCTCGGCACCATACCCTACCACCCTCCTTATCAAAGCCCTCACAGGAGCGACAACAAACCCAACGACCCTTTTAGCCACGTCTAGAGCTGCCACTTCCAAGGTTTGAAAGAGGTAGCAAAGTAGATTGTCACCCTCGAGAAGGGTTTGGAGATTGTAGAGACCGTTTGTGAGGTTCCCGACGTCGATCCCGGTGAAGGTGTTGACCCTGCCGGTGTTGCCTCCAGCGCTGAGGAATTGGGGGTACTGACTCGCGGCTGCGGCGACGTCTGCCAGGTAGAAAGGGATGGTGTACTCGTCGCCGATGGCGCGGCGGTACCAGTTGTCGGGGATGCGCTCCCAGCCGCGCCTGTAGGTGAAGTTGCCGGAGGTCCCGCTCACGGCATAGAAGGACATCAAGACGCGACGGTTTAGGATCCCCTCGGGGTGCTCGGCGGTCCTGTTGGCCATGAAGCGGTAGATGAAGGTATAGGATGCGGGGCCCGCGATGGCGCTGATGAAGGGGGCGTAGAAGAAGTAGGGGTTCGTGGCGATGCTGTCGGCGATCCGTTGGGCGCGGAAGGGGGTGAGTTTGGAAAGGTCGTAGTTGGGGTTGGTCGCGTTCGCGAGGTCGATCAGTTGCTGGAATTGGTTGATTTGGAGGTCGTCGGCTTCCTTGTAGAGGTAGAGATCGCCGCGGGTCGGGGAGTTGTCGGCCTCGTATTTGTTGTGGCTGTGGGAGAGACCTTGGGATTTGCCCAGGCAAAGAAGAGAAATTAATAAATTAAGGGATGAAAACAGAACAGAGTGAACTAGAGTAAACATTTTGTGGATGTTACCCCTAAAGTGGTGTATGGCACAATTTCATCCTTTGAATCCAAGCATCAGATGAAAGTTGGTGCAAAATTCGAACATTTCGAGTAATTTTGGATCGACACAGTCAAGAATTATTTTAAATTTTTTGTGCAAAGGTATCGAGATAAACATATTACCAGTGAATTCGACAGAGATCTCAGTAAAATTGAAGTGAAAAAAAATCACAAAATAGATGTTTTCAGTTACCTCAGACTCGTATATTTGTTGTGGCTGTGGGAAAGACCTTGGGATTTGCCGGGGCAAAGAAGAGAAATTAATAAATTAAGGGATGAAAATAGAACAGAGTAAACTAGAGTAAACATTTTGTGGATGTTTCAGCAACACTAAAAAATCCGATCAATCGGTCGAGTTAAGCTCTTGAATTTAAATCCGCTGATCGAGGCTGTGATGCTGCGTAAGTTGCCACTCTGCGTCGATAGATTCATATCGCACTCATTTCGAGCTTTAAATTTGATCGTGGCAACAAAGCTCCAGAGTTTCCTTCCTCCGGGCTGATTCTTGAAATTGGTAGAGAAAGCGATAGACAGAGAAGATATAGGAAATAGATAGCGATCTTGATGGTTAGAATGGTTGGCCCCTATAGACTAAGGGAGAAAATGATAGACTAACTATAGGGTGTCTCGTGGGTTGCCGTTAATCAGTCTATTATCTACCTTCTTTGTCCATGCAACCACCCGCTTCCACCGATAGGATCCCTCCATATCCCTCCTACCTTATTTGTCTACAGCTTTGTCTATCAATTTCAACAATCAAGCTGTCCCTGGTTCCGTTCAGCAGAAACACGTTTTAGTGTATTTTCCGAAGGAAATACACTATTGCATTTTTTACTTTCTCGCTCCCCTAGGGTAGAGAGGAAGTATTGTCATCCTCCAAGAAAAAAAAGAGGAAAAAAGTTGAAATTTCATCATTTTTAGACGTTTTAAGGTCCCAGGAGTCAAAATAACCATACTTGAAAAAATGTGTGTCCGTCCGTCCGTCCGACGTCCCCCAAATCTGTCTACAGCGATATCTCAGAATCTATCTGTTCGATTTCATTCAAAATTCTCACAGAACACCATATGCATGGTCTACTTATGCACGTCAAACGATTTTGAGGTATGCTAAAATTTGGGGGGGGGGGCTAGGCTAAATTGTTCATTTTTAGCAAAATCACACGGAAAGCTCACTTTGAAGGACTGTAAATTTTGAAAAATGCTTTTAATTCTTTAACAATGGGCATCGAGCACATCACCTGGGTCATTAATTTTTGTCCATTGTATTCGTATTTTCTGGCTATATTTTCGTGTGCTTCATCCTTACATGACTATCACGACGTCATACTATGAGCTTACCTTGAGACTGTCCGAGAAGGCCGAGGGCACTGAGACCGCGGGGGGCCCCGCCGATGCTCCAGGAAACAAGGTTCCCGCAACAGGCCGCACCGTAAATGGCGAGGAGTACCGCGAGGTCGACGCCCATGCCGAAGACGGTGTAGGTGCCCGCGATGAACTGGTCGACGGTCGCGATGCCGTTGTGCGGGATGTAGTTGTGGTTGGCCAGGGCGTTGAGCCCGGGGCAAGGGCCGCGCTGGTCCCCCGGCCCGGGGGCCACGAATTTGTGCGGGCCGTCCGTTTGGACCCTCTGCAGGTCCTTGTCGAACGGAATGTACGGAGACTGACGTTTCGTTCTCGCGTCGGCAGCTTGTCGGAGTAGACGATGGAGAACCTGGGACTGCTCCTCAGTCGATATTTGGTGCCCTGCGAGATGGTCCGCGGCCGCCAGGACCAGGAGTATCGTCAGGCTGATCATGGTTCAGACGCGTGGAATCCTGGATCTAATCGTGTATTTCGGCTGCTGCAGAGCCTACCAGACCGATAGCTCCTTGATGAGAAAATATTGTTTTATCTGAGGGGTTTGAGTAGATGTCGTCCTCGTGGGGCAGGAGGTGGACCATGGTGCAAGTCCCGTCACCTCCAGTCACCTCCCGTTACCTCCCGTCACCTCCAGTGACCGCCTGCCAAAGATGAGATCCCCGAAACTATGCCTCTGTTTCGCTTCCCTCTGCACGGGCTCACGGGTAACGAGTGGTGACAGGAGGTGACTGGAGGTTACAGGAGGTGACGGGAGGTGACGGGACTTGTATCATGGTCCACCTCCTGCCGCACGAGGTCAACTTCCACTCGAGAACGCAAATGAGTGCAATTTTTGATAAAAATATTATATATATGTATATTAATAATTCTAGCTAAAATTAGTTTTAAAATTAATTTCAATTGTACATTAATTAAATAATTTGACAAGAAAAAAACACTGAGAAACGTGGCCCGAATTGTATTAAACAGGGAGGTGAAATAGTGCTGTGTCCACACTATTTTGCGAGGAAATCAAGGTCAAATTCATTCCGATGAATTTGTCTGAGCTGAACACTCCTCTCCCTCTGTCTTGTACTGATACTCGCCAGAGCTCAAAAGTTTTGCTCTAATTGAAAAACTGTTAAACTTGTTTGCCTTGGTTCCCCCGCAAAATTGTGCGGACTCAGCACTATTTTACCACCTGCTTATAATAATTTGACTAAGGCGATTTATGTTATGACTTTAAGTTAATGATTTTAAAATTAAAATTAAAATTGATAATCAGTTTCTATACATTTTCAATGTTTTTACATTTATATCTGTGAAAAATTCACTTCTAAAATCCAATTTTCAAACATGAAAAGCAAATTTGAACTTTCTTCCGCCATAAGGCTCCGTGCAATTTTGAAACTTTAGATATACGCATCCCGTGAAACGTCAAAAACTACACGTGTGAGCCTTTTCCTCCGGAGCTCCTTATTTCAGCTGAGTTCGGCTGAAATTTTCTACTAAAACTGCAAATTATTTTGGTGTTAATCTCAAAATGATGCAATGTAAAAATATTAATTAAAAGCTTGTTAAATCTGATTAATGTTAACAAAGAGTATATCGATGGCTAAAATAAAAAAAAAAAAATGCGTACCTCCGGTTGTATAACGATGCCATTCTCTGCGAGTATTTTATTTTTTTCACTTGAAAACAAACCAATAGTTATTTTTGAAAATGTCTATGAATTGTCTTTACTCATTGAAATATATTCATAAACAATGTCAAGAAGCTATTTCGACTAGCTCTCTTCGGAAAAGGTAAAAATATTTCACGATTTTCAAACTTTTCAGCAGGAACACTCATTTTAAGTTGACGATACCCATCGATATATTGGATCGCACTTGGCAAAAAGGAAAAAAATGTTGCTTCTTCATAATTATCTGAAAAACTTCCCAGAACAGCCGTTTTTTTTTGCTTCCCACCAAAAATTGTCAATTTTGAAAGGAAAATAATTGTGTGAATTTTAATATTTAATTTTTTTTTTTTTACTGAAACAATAAGGGATGAAAACTACCGATGATTGATAGATACAGTTTATGACAGTCGACTTACCGGTTGAAAGGAGTGGAGAAAAAACCTCAACTGATGATTTGAAACTTATTGTCGCGTCGATTGGGTATCAACTCGCGACAGTGAATTAGGAGAACATTATTATATAAGAATTATTTAGACAGGTGTGATGAATGGACTGTGTTATCGATCAGAAATCGTCTCCATCTCTATCTTAACGGCTCAGCCAATTATAAAATCAATTTAATTTATCTGAGGACCGCCAGTGACGTGTGAGAGCCCAAACGTTCAGTCGTTAGTCCAAATTCAGGGAGATCGGCCCAATCCTCCCCCTCCACCCTGTAGTTATTTCAAGCCCTGTACCAATCACTAAAAATATTATTGTTAATACTTTTTTCATTAAAAAAAAAAGAAATTCTTTGATTTACCGATTACCTTTTTCCTCTTTATAAAAGACTTTCTTCAGTGAAAGAAATTCGTTCCAATTCAAATGAGGTTTTTCAGAGAATTACACTTTATCGTTGATGTAAAATTTCCCTCTCTTATAAAAACAACACATTCGTATTGCCAGAAAATAATGCGGTTGAAGTAACAATACGATTCAATCAGTAAAAATTATCTTTAAATCAAAGAAGGCTTTGTTGTAATTAAGAAGAAACAGCCCCGTCGAGGGAGTGCCCCCATCAAATTCGGCGATTTTGAGCCTCAAAATTGATTGATTAAAACTTCAAACATGACTGTCTCAAATTTATTTTTAATGGTCTGCAAACCTCAAACCTGCATCAATTTGTTTTTCTCTGAATTTTTAGAGCGTGCATGTTCTTTTTATTTTGTTTTTTCTGACTGCGCTACTAGAGATAGTAAGGTCTGATCACAATCTTTAAAGTACCGACAGAAACTATGAAACTATGAAAATTTCAAGGATTGTGGCCGGTGCGACGGATCCATCTTGTAGTTTAACGTATTTAAACCAAATGGAACTTTATCAGTGGCGTGGCGTGCTTTGCGATATATCGATTGTTATGCCATTTAAACCTATGGAAAAGGATCGATAAACAGGGTGTTCGCTGCGAACACCTTAATAATCGATTCTTTACCATAGATTTAAATGGCATAGAAATCGATACATCGCAATTTACGCCACGCCACTGAACTTTATCTATTGTGACATGGTTCCTACTATTCATGTATATCTTATGAATCTTAGGGCTCATGTTAGAGTGTATGTAAATCCTTTTGATTTAAATACGTCTAGTTGACACTATGACGATTTAGAGCAATGTTCTTCGAAGCTTTCAGAAGTAATGGCGGAAAAAGTAGAATTGGGTCAAAATGCAGGAATTCCGGGACAGAGGGTATGGATTTAATGGACATAAATCGATCAAAAAATAAGTACGCGAATCGGCCGACAAATTCGTGAATCGAACGACAATTCCATGAATCGGCCGACAACCCGTAAATCGATCGAATCACGTCGATCGATTCACGTCTTTATTTTTCGATCAAATTATATCGATCGTGACCATAGCCTCCCTCTGGGACCTCTGGTTCACCTCAATCGCCCATGTATTTTCTAGAAACATGAGGGAGCTTAGATTCAACCCCTAAAGTAGTGTATGGCACAATTTCTTCCTTTGGATCCAAGTATCAGATGAAATTAGGTGCAAAATTCGAACATTTCGAGTAATTTTGGATCGACACAGTCAAAAATTATTTTAAATTTTTTGAGCAAAGGTATCGAGGTAAACATATTACCGGTGAATTTCACAGAGGTTTCAGTAAAATCGAAGTGAAAAAAATCACATAATAGATGTTTTCAGTTACCTCAGAATATTTATTTTACTCATTCACAGGGTATGTACTCGACTACTTTCAGAAATTGAGTTTCTCCTTCCTAAATTGGTCAGGGTTTAGCAGCACTCTTGATAAGCAAAACTACATATTTAATTCTTTTTAAATAATAGAGTTGCAATCATTATTCCCGGAACCGTCTAAGACACTACTTCGGGAGGGTACATTATTATTGATTGGGGATGAGTTAATACAAAACTACTTATTATTACCATCAAAAATTACAAATTCTAACATGTTTGGTGTACCATATTCATATCTAATCTTTGTTTATTAAATACTTTAGAATGATAATTATTGATTTATGTTATCATTCTAAGGCTAGGGTTTGTTTAAACAATTTCCAATGCGTGCGGATCTTAAATTTTAATTTTAATTTTATTTTTAACTGCGGAAACACCAATTTTCAGTATCAAACTCCAGTCAAAACTATGCCAACTACGTACTTTACAAACGACGGATCTTCCGAACTTTCCGAACTTCTGAAGTGTCCATACTCTACCAGCCGTGCTAATGAAGAACGCCGCGCCGTATGAACATTCGAGAGTTGCCAAATCTCCTTCGATAAAATGTCAATTTCCGAGGAAACTCATGAAGATTTTCCCATGAAAGTTTCAGGACTTTTAGGTGGAATTGCGAGCAAAATTATCTAAAAAAATTGGGAGAAAAATATTCTAAAGTTGACCAAGAACTTCGTGTTTTATCAAGGGAGATCTGGCAACGCCTGAAGGTTCATACGGCGGTCTTCCTTACCACGGCAGACTTGTATACCGACGGTGAAACTACCAAACCGCGTATCTCGGTTTGCGACGTCGCAGACTTCCTGTCATACTTTATTTTTTAAATGAAAAGCTACTTAAAGTCCAGTCTTGAAATTTTCCGTGATTTTTCCTCTTCGAGCGGAGAAAATTCTGTGAAAATTTCAAGGAATGATATTGATTTGGTCTACCTCAAAAAAATAAAATGTGAGCGGAGATTTTTAAACACCGCAAACGAGATATGTGGTTTGGTAGTTTCACCGTCGATATGTACTCCGGTACTCAGTCCTCTAGTCGAAGCCATCAAGAACCATCTGCGCCATTATGATGTCCGAGCAGCTACAGTCCTGGCCGGGATGAACTCCCAGAGCTGAGAGCGAGGGGTCGTGGATTCGAGTCCCTGCCTTATAGGTTCATATCCCACAGACGCAGCAGATCTGGTGGCATTTCCAAGCTTCCTCGGTATGAAAGGCCGTGCGCTCCTGGGATAAGTCCCATCCGGTAGCAGCCTCGTGTATCCCGGAAACGGGTTGAACAACGACGGGCTCAGCTCATCCAACTGGGGACAAGTGAAATCAACCGGACCGGCCTGACTTAGGCGATTGAGGATAACTCTTATAGGAATGGTAAGCGCATCAATTTTATTCATCGCATCGAGAGTAGCAGCCTGGGTTATCTGGAAGAGGAAACAAGCCAAGTTATTCCCCTCGAAAAGCGTTTCGAGATTAAAAAGCCCGCTCGTGAGATCCGGGAAACTGACCCCGGTGAAGGTATTGGGGGCGCCGGTGTTACCCCCCACGCTGAGGAACTGGGGGTACTGCAACGCGGCCGCCACGAGGTCCGCCAAATAAAAAGCTATTGTGTACTCGTCCCCGATGGCGCGGCGATACCAGTTATCAGGGATGCGTTCCCAACCGCGCCTGTAGGTGAGGTTGCCAGACCTCCCGCTCACCCCGAAGAAGGACATCAAGACCTCGCGGTTGAGGAGCCCCTCGGGGTACTCTTCGGATTTGTTAGCCATGAAGCGGTAGATGAAAGTATACGCGGCCGGCTGGACGAGGAGCCCCGCGAAGGGGGAGTTGAAGAAGTAGGGGTTGGTGGTCACGCTCTCGTTGAACCGCCGCGCGCGGAAGGGGGTGAGCACGTTGAGGTTGTAGTTCGGGTTGGGGGTGTTGGCCTGCGTGTCCAGGAGCGCTTGGAACTGGGAGAGATTGACGTCGCGGTTGTTACCGAAGAAGAGGTCAGCGCGGGTCGGCGAGGCGTCCGTCTCGTATCTGTTGTGGCTGTTGGAGAGACCGAGTCCCTTCCCGAGGAGACCCAAACTGGCTAGACCGATGGGAGGTCCATCGATGCTCCAGGAGAACCCGTTGCCGGAGGTGATGGCGCCGAGAGGGGCGAGGAAGGAAGCGAGGTCGAGGCCCATGCCGTAGACCCAGGAGGTGGCGGCGATGAACTCGTTGATGGTGGCGACGCCGTTGTGCGGGAGGTAGTTGTGGTTGGCCAGGGCGTTGAGGCCGGGACAGACGCCGCGCTGGTCCCGCGGGCCGGGGGCCACGAATTTGTGCCGGCCGTCCGTTTGGACCCGTTGCAGATCCCTGTCGAAGTATGGATAAAGTGCCTGGCGTTTCCCTCTCGTGTCGGTGGGATTTTGGAGGAGTTGATGAAGGGCTCGAGAGTATTCTTCGAATGACTTTTCGTGCCCTGCGAGTTGGTCGACGGCCGTTAGGACCAGGAGTGTCGTCAGAGTGAGCATGGTTCGGCCGGGTGGTAAGGGCTGGGTTTTATGGTCGGGTTCGGCTGCTGCTGAGCCGTGCGAGTGAATGGTTTCCTGAATAAACATGATTTTACAGTATAGACCATTAGCCAAGGAAAATAAGGAGACCATAGATATGGTGCTCTGTGCAAATTTTGAATGAAATCGAACCGATAGATTCTGGAATATTGCTGTAGACAGATTTGAGAGACGCCCGATGGACGGACATACATTTTTTCAAGTAGGTATATGGTTATTTTGACCCCAGGGACCTTAAAACGTCTAGAAATGATGAAATTCCACCTTTTTTTGTCTTGGAAGATGACAATACTTCCTCTATCCTAGGGATCGAGCGAGAAAGTAAAAAGGTAGCTTGGATCTAGAGTCCAGACTCTTGAAAGCATTGACAAGAAAAAATACTCTTGACTCTATCGGATTTCTCCTTGAATCGAAGAGCCAAGCCTCTTGATTTAAGCAAATCTTCTTTTGATTCAAGTAAGAATCCGATTGAATCAAGAGTATTTTTTCTTGTCAATGCTTTAAAGAGTCTGGACTCTAGATCCAAGCGACCTTTCTTTCCCAGTGCAAGGTGCGAATTTAAACATTATGGTTGAGGGGCTTGCAGAGCAAGGCGCATACACGTGCAGTTTTTGCAAGTTCGGGAAATATGTCTTTGAAGTTTCAAAATTACGTGGATCCTTATGGCGGAAAGGAAGTTTAAACTGACTGTTTGATGCGAAAAAATTGGAATTTGGAAGCGAATTTTCCACAGAATATGAATCAACACTAGTTATACTTAAAATAATCAATTTCTCAATTTGTTTAAAAACAACACTTATGCGCCTTGTCCACTGAGCCCCTCATTTTATGTATTCTCTTCAAAATTTCCCAAGAACACGATTTGAACGCATTTATACTAAACTGAACTAGAGACGCGTGAGAAGGATGGAATGTGCTCTGGAAAACTGCATAAAGCAAAATGTAAAAGTGGGCGTGATTCCTTTCGGGAAAATGGGAAAGCGGGATTTCTCATTAAATCAAAAGGAATTAAGCACCAATATATACTAAGACATGAGCCGTGGGCAGGACATAAGAGCATTGTGGACAGGGCTCATGAGTTAATTCAGCATCGTTGAGCTTGTCGAGCCCGGTCGTCGCCGCTGACGTCACCGGCGCTTTATAATTCCCATTCATTCTTACGGCCGTCAACTAACGAGCACACTCCTTCCTTGGTCGTTCAACATAAATGCGTCCATTTGTACAACAAAAATATTGAAAGTAAATCTGAACCGAGATATTGACGTTTTCTGATGCATTAATCCAAAGTTCCGCGCATAAAAAAAAAACCGTAATCTGCTTGAGTTGAATCGCAACCTGAATATTACCGTCACAGCCATTGCGTTATGAAAATATGACAATCTCAATCTCGGTACTTCCGCCCAGTTGTTGCACTTTGTATACATTTTTAACAACACAAGGTAGGTATAAAACACTGTTCGATCAAGAAATCAGCCAAACCCGTTGTAGTGTGCGATTTGATCCACGTTGACTTTCGATCTTCTTGTGAGCAGTAAATTCTAATTTTTTGTAAGTCATGAAAAATAAAAATTGATCTCAGTTATTTTCTTCAGCAAATCATATTCTAAGTGAAATTTTGAAGAGAAAATACACACCGTTACCTTCCGGCCGAATTATCACAAGCGTCACGCGACGTTTAACAATTTTCGTCGTCATTTGATTCTCTATACAGAGAAATTGTTGGCTAAATCTGTTTGGAAATTTTACTTAATTTTATCGACATCACAAAGAAAATTCAGTGAAATTTTTGGACAGCTTATTGGACAATTTTTCTATAAAAAAATAAAGTCGCGGTGGAAATTTTTAAACGTCGCATGGTGCGTGTGATACTTTGGCCAGCAGGTGACGATACTAGAATGCTTAAATGTGTACCTTCTCTATTAGTTTGCTTTAATTTAATTTTTTCCATTGAGGTGTGAGTTCATCGGAGCATTCAAAAATTGCCGCAGACCTTTCATCTCATTCAACCGAGAAACTCTCCCTGGATCTGATATTGGTGGTGAGAGAAAGATGCTCTATTTTTCACAACGCACTAATCCATCATAGCAGTACTTTAGTGTTGTTAAACCGATATTGGTTTAGTGAAGTTACTCTAATTTTATATTTGATATAAAAGATATTTTTTATATGAGATATAAAAAATATAGTTTTAAAGGAAGTCATCCATAACTTGTCGTCTCCCTCACGAAAAATGGTAACTGCATTTCAATGTTGCCAAATTTCCCCTCTAAAATTTCATTTTAATGAGGAGAATCTTGGGCATTTCCAATCAAAAATCTCACCGATTTATCTTCAGATATCATGCAAAATCAGAAAAATTTTGGAGACAAAACTTTCATGGGTGCTTTCTAGTGCAAAATTGAATTGTTCGAGTTAATTTGGCAACCTTGGAATGGAGTTACGTTACATACGCAGAAAACGACGAATTATTCACTACTATTCTACCATGCTAAGGAAGAACGCCGTATGAACATTCGAGAGTTGCCAAATTTCCTCCGATTAAATGTTTATTTTTAAGGACCGTTATGAAAATTTTTCCTTGAAACCTCAAGAACTTTAGATGAAATGGCGAACAAAATTATCTGAAAAGTTGGAAGGAAAGTATTCATAAGTTTATCAGGAAATTTGTGTTTTATCGAAGGAAATTTGGCAACGCCTGAAGGTTCATGCTGCGTTCTTCCTCGGCACGGCAGTCTTCGTATCTGTCTGATTTTAAACTACGCTGAAAATGGAAATATATCTCAGGTAAATCTTAGATCTATTGACTCACCTGTCGAGATGGACGATCACAACTGAGTCTTAGAGTCAGTCGGATATTAAATCATAAGAAAAGTAGGAGGGAATTATTTCGGCTGAGAAAGATGGGGCGCCAGTCTGGAGCCGCGAGTTTCTTATCGGTGAAAATTTGTCTCCCCCTAATTTTAACTTCAAGGCCTACCTAATGATGCCATCCATTTATTTTATCGATGAGCTGTCAGCGGCAGTTCCAGCGGGCTGATTGTTGAAATGAATAAATGATAATCTCTTTTTGCCTGAGTAGAGATTTTAACGCAGGAATAGGAATGTTAAATGGGGAAAACGCGTGGTACAACTATTTCAACTTTCAAGTAGGTAAAATTGCGTATCAGCGAAATGAAGGAGAACCTGTTTTTGGCTGATTCGGAGACTTTAACGCAGGAGTAGAAAAGTCGGATGGGGTGAAACGCGTGATATAACTATTTCGACCTCCAAGTACGTAAAATTGCGTGAGCACAGAATGAAGGAGAACACATTTTCGGCTGACTTCGAGACTTTAACGCGAGAGTAGGAAAGTTGGATATACGCGCAATTTTATAGTGCATAGGCTGAATTTCAGGGTGCTTGAAACTGCGTAGCCCGCACTGGAAAAAAAACACATTGGATCTAGAGTCCAGACTCCTAAAAACATCGACAAGAAAAAATACTCTTGATTCAATCAGATTTAAGCTTAATTCAAGAACCAAGCCTCCTAATTTGAGGAGATTTCCTTTTGATTTAAGCTTAAATCTGATTGAATCAAGAGTTCTTTTTCTTGTCAATGTTTTCAAGAGTCTGGACTCTAGATCCAATGTGTTTTTTTTTCCAGTGTAGTCTATGAGAACCTCTCATTTCAATCAATAAGATTGCTCCATACTCCATATGTCTTATTTGTCTATAGCTTTGTCTACCGATTTCAACAATCAGCCAGAGGCGTGGCACGTGCTTTGCGATATATCGATTGATCTGCCATTCAAACCTATGGAAAGGATCGATTAACAGGGTGTTCGCACCGAACACCTTAATAATCGATTCTTTACCATAGCTCCAAGTGGAGAAATATCGATACATGGATCACTCACGCCTAGCCACTGCAATCAGCCCGAAGAAAGGAAACTCTGGAGCTTTGTTACCACGATCAAAATTAAGGCTCGAAATGAGAGCGATATGAATCGATCGACGCAGCGGGTCGATTATTGAAATTGATAGACAAAGCTATAGACAAAAGAACACGGACAAAGGACTTTACATAACTTTTACATAAGAATCAATAGTCAAATCGCAAATTGCTCACACATGCAACATCTACATTATGAAAAACAAAAAGCAGAGCACGGATTTTCTCATGAACTTATGCCCCCTTAAATTTCGTGTTCCCCCTGAGTGTATGCTCACAGATTAGAATCATGGCGTCTTATTTCTCATTAGATGAGGCTGAAAGAAGCATTTTAACCGAATAATCACCAAAAAAATGTTTTTTATGTAAATATACAGCTTAAATCAAATTTCCTCAAACGGAGCCCATTTTTTTAAAAAAAAGGGGGGCTTGGGATCCACATAGAAATAAGCGCGGGCAAAGTTTGACTCATATTCATGTTACTGAGGCCCATTAGCACCAGGAATTTTGAGTGGAGCAAAGGTTTTCATAAAAATTTAATTTCTGAACCACCCTTTCCTATTAGTTTCAAACTTACATGGATGACTTACATTGATTTTGTAATCTGGACCCTGTCCCAGAGTCCTAATATAGGGTTGTAATCAATTACTCCTGTTAATTGTAACTCCTGTTAAATTGTAAATTTCTCAATACTTTTGTAGTAGGCGAAATCTTGAATAAAACTTAAAAAAAAGATTTGTTTGAGTTTCAATATACGACAGGACTTCAGTGTTATTTAACTGAGAGAAACTAGCCGGAAAGTATGAGATTTTTTTGATACTTTGTGCAATCACAATCAATCGCTCTCGGCATCCATAAATCTATCTAGAGGATCTTGAAAAATAATTGAATTACTTTATAAAAATAATAAAGAGTGGAAATTTGAGGAACAAAAGATAGTCAACATAAAAAAAAAAAAAATCAGAAATCGATGCGGGCTTTTAAATTCGTCTTTTTCACCCACACGCACGCAGAAAAATATTTTATAGCCCTGAAAATTCTTCATATTTACCTTCAGCGATGTTTTG